GAGATAATAAGAACCAAAATTATCAGCTTTGTAGTATATTATCATTTGACAATCTCATCATTTCTGACACTTTGGAATGCAAATTTGACGAAGGCACGTGCGGTGAGAGAATCGCATACAATGACGGCAAATTGTACCAGTTAATTCAGTAACAAACGAGGCCAATCCGTTCGCTTATATACATATTATATATTTCGCACAACAGCGAAGTAGCAATTGACAATGTGCAATTATACAAGTGCAAGTATTAGCAAAAACGAATATGTAAAAATAATAATAATAAAAAAGTGCGTACATGTGCGTAAAGTATCCTATTCTTCATGTTGTTAAAAATTTTTTGTATATGAAACGATGAAGAATTTCCTATAAAATTTTATTTAATATTAAATAAGTATAACTAAATTTTATCGATCTTATTAATTAATATATAACTAAAGATACATTATAGAATATTTAATATTATGCTTTCTATTACTTTTAAAAAGCCGTTGTTATATAATATAGTTTCATGGTTAATAATACCACAAATAATCAATGTTTACGAGCACTGATAAATCTATATTATTAGAAAAAAAAAGATTATAAACATGTATACTTGTATATTATTTTTATTGTATTTTCTTATGCTTTACATATTGAAATTCTTGTTATGTATCTCGTTGTGTATTAATCTTGTTATGTATACTCGTTTACATCAGAAAACTTATTTAAGAACCTAAGTAACTTATTAGCATATTAATTGAAGATTCAGATTTTATTAAATTATTCAAATGAAGCTTGACAAAAGAAGACATAAACGTTAAAAAAATTATTTAATAGAGACGTTGTATAAAGAAAATCTTATACTAACAAATTACACATATTTTAGCATTTACATATTAGAAATCTGAACATGCAGCATGGCTACAACAAATATTCGATAAGATATAATTAACGTCGTATTTGTGTGCGTTCGATTGGCTGATGGAGAAGAAGGGGGTGGTAGGCCGGCAATTACCTAAATGGTCGGGTAAACAATATCCGAGCACGTTCACCGTCAGCGAGAGTTAAGAGCACAAGGCACAGTAACTGGCTGTGTTCATGCAAACAACGCCAATGCTCTCGTCGATATCGCGGTGAGTTTGGTTTCCCACTTCCGCGCCCTCACTCGCTCACTCGCTTCCGCGCGCGCGCGCGCGCGCACACACACACACGCTCTGCCTCTCTGTCTGCCTGTCTGTCTGTCTGTCTCTCTCTCTCTCTCTCTCTCTCTCTCTCTATCATCTCTTTATTTTACTAGAGCATTGAACTCGTCTGCTAATGCGCGTCTGCAATTATCCATCGAGTCGTATAAAATTATAACAGCTGATGCGATTAATCGCATTTATTTGCAAACTACTTTCTAAACTATTGAAAGATATTTAGTTTTCAAACTTTTATTTTTTTCAAATCATTATAAAATTTACCTAAATCATACGATTAAAAATATTATTAAACTAATATCATTAAATAAACATTGATAAAATACATTTAATAGAGTTAATAGTCGGCATTTAATGTTTGATATTCTTAATGGTAAAATCTATATAATTTAATATTTTATATATAAATCGTATACGATGTCAATTTTTTACAAAAAATGAATTATAGTTTTGAATAATCAAAATTTGGATTACAATTGCGATTAAAACACTTTGTTGATGAGCATATCTATATGTATGTATGCATTTACTATTAAATGATTTTTCTATTTTTTTTAGATATGTTTATCCAATTAAAAAAGTATATATTATGGATTGATTAATTATCGAGATTAATTACGTAAGAAATAATTATATGATCTTAAAATTATTCACAAAAATTTGAATTTTTTGTAATATAAATTTTTATCATTTCCAATACGAAAAATACTATTCTGTAATAATATTTTCATTATGAAATATGATATAAATTTGTAAAATATTTTCTTGACCTAAAATTTTAGACAATATAATCACTAATTCATTAGAAAATTATTAATTAATAAGTGTACGTACAATTTTAAAAAATTAGGCTCTCTCTCTCTCTCTCTCTCTCTCACCTTTACGCCTCTAACTGTTTATCAATTTTTCTCTCTCAATCCATTTCTCGTTGGTAGCTTAATCGATATTTCATACGTTAACATCATTAAACTTTCATTGCCATTATTACAATAGAAATAACTGACGATTCATAGGCGGTACTGCATATATGTTCTTTCCTTGCCTCTTACAAGTGATGGTAGTAGTGCGACTAAATCAAAGACAAACCACTTTAGCTAGTCGGCGATCACGGATAAAGCTGTGTGTATGTATCTGAATATCTTGGTGAAAGCTACGTGCAGAACATCAAAATGAGGGAGAGGGACTTAGGGAGAAAGAGAGAGAGAGAGAGAGAGAGAGAGAGAGAGAATGACCGATCGCAGTGGGGAGTGAGAGAGACGAATGAGCGGAGAAGGAAGTGAAAGATAGAGAGATGAGATATTTCATCCCCTTCTTTATCGTTCTCCTCCTACAAATTCTCCTCCACGAATCGGTGCTTCCTATCGCATTTGTGTTGTCTCTAATATAAACTCTCCCTCTCAACGATGTCGATGAAAGAAACAGAGGGAGGAGGGTATTTTTTCTAGGTGAAAGCCATGCTATTCAGTAAGTTTTGAATATGTACGTTGCATACCATTTTCTGCAAAAGCATGCATATGAAAATGCCATTTTAAAATCTTTCATGTAGTTAAGAGTTTTTATTAAAAAAAATCATGACTTATATAATGATAATATGGTTATTGAGTATATTTGTAATTTTGTGTATCATCTATTATTAAATATTTTATTTCCATTGAAATGTAATCAATTTTAATATAAAAAACGTATACTTAAAAATAACTAGTTATACGAGTAATTTATTTTTAAAAATTAATTTATTTTAAAATTAAAGAATTTTTAATATCAAATTCAATTTGAATCTGAATAAAGATATACTTTGAAAATTATATATTTAATTTTGCACTAATATTCTTCACGAAAAAATTATTTATTATGAAATGCAACAAATCATTAAAATATATAAATTATAAAATGTATTGATTTTGAAATAATTATAAGTATTTATTTTCTTATATTTTTTAACAGTTAATCTATAATATATTTGAAACATTATATTAAAATTTATGTCGTTTTAATTAAAGCTGTTTAAATTTATAAATGGAATTCAACATAGTTTTATTTCTTTTCGACACAATTGTTTATTGACTAAGTTTCAAACTTCGTAAATGTTAGTTAAAAATAATGTTAATACTAGATTTAATAAACGCAAGCTAATTATTAAAATTAAGGTTGATAATTAAGTTCTCTACTGCTATATTCATTTCATATTACAAAGTTAATTCAACCGCTAACACTACCACTCACTAAAATTTTCAGGAACATAAAACGACTTGACGCGTTTAACGCACAAAGTAAAACGTCACTGCTCTTTGCCTCTAATCCAGCCAACAAAATTTAAACGGCTTTACACACTTTTGCTGGAGTCTGTACAGCTAATACATCCCTTTAGATGTGGCATATAAAATCTCAAACGCGTGCCTATGCCAAAAGACGATCAAGTCAGAATGAGAGATAGAAACGGTGCGACACTAAGATCGAGATCGAGAGAGAGAGAGAGAGAGAGAGAGAGAGAGAGAGAGAGTGAGCGAGTAAGCGAGTCGTCGAGAGGGAGCGGAAGGCGAGACAAAAACACCAAAGGAAAGCTCACCAAGCAGCAATAACGACGAGTCGTCGTCAGATGTAGCCTCGTGCCTCCCCCTTCTCTCCATCACAATGTTCGTTGGGATTGGTGCCCAGCTAAGCTTTCACGAGAGCGCAAGGCCACGCCCACGTGAGGCGTACACATTCGCCCAGTTGGCTGACTACCTCTGCGCTCTCCGGAATCAGAAGCACGAGCGCATGTAGCCCCTCTCCAACTCTCTCGTTCTCCCCTTCTCGCGCTTATAATACTATATATATATATATATATATATATATATATATATATATATATATATATATATATATATATATATATGCTAGTATTCACATATATCTATGCTAGTATTCACTGGCAACGGCGGCGGCGGTGGCCAACGCCACCACTCGGCGGCCTTTCGTATAGAACATCCAAGACGACCGCCGGCGAAGCACTTGGACTCTTGCTCACCGAACTACCCAAACCCCTCTTCGTCTCTCTCTTTTTCTTTCGGTTTTTATCTTACCTGTGATGGGATTGGTGTTTCCTTTTTAGATAATTATACTATGTAATTATATTATTATTCTGTGAAGATTGTTGTGGATACAGAATTAACGATGTTCTGTCAAAGTTGCGAGATATTTTGTGCAAGATTTTGTGAATTTTCGATTTTGCAAAATCTACGTTTCTCCATATAAGTAGTTGTAACAAGATACGAGCATTTTCGATGTTTCATTTGTGCAAATTTAGAGACATTAATACAAATAATCGGAATGAAACTCTTTGTGCTACGTATCAACAAAATTCATTCGAGTGCAGTGAAAAATTAAAGTGATTGTTAAAAATACTGGGGTTTGAGCAATTTATTGTAAGTACGTAAATAGATAAGAACGTAATGAGTCAAGTGAATTAAATTGACACAGCATATTATTCTACTATAAATGTTAATGACTGGCTAATAGCTTTAATGAATATAATAAAATCATTGTATAATAAATGATTGTAGTGGCACTATGACTAATTGGATACCAAACTAGAATGTACATATTTTCTGGGATATTTATTATTTCTTCATTATCATTATCATCTTCTCCTTCTTCTTCTTCTTCTGTTTCTTTCTCTCTTGTACTTTTTGACAAAAAATGCGTCAATTTTAAAATAATATCGTAAGTGTGTATATATATATATATATATATATATATATATATACATATATAATTAGTGATCGATGCCTTTTAAGAATTTAATGTCGTTCGGGAACCGGAGCTGGTTATCGAGTCGGCGACAGTCGCTGACAACAATGACGCTAATCACGTGGCCAATCACGACAGTGACATTTCGGCCTTAACGGGCGTCGTCGCGAATGGCAAGTAAAGAATGCAGGAAACGAGAACAACGGCAGTAACAATGTCACCACTAGGTCCAGTCGTCGGCGAGGAGGCCGATAACGTCGCGGTAAGACCGCGCCAAGACAGACGACAGCCACAGCATGTACTGCTACAAGTTAGACCAGCAGATCCCTTCTCCCGTTACGAGCACCTACAGAGGCATCATCCAATCCACGACTCGGCCATGGTGACGAGAACAAGCAGTCAGCACATGGAAGATGATACTGAGTTAGTCTGTGCTAAGGAAAAGTTTGCAACAAAACGTATCGAAACGGATGATGAAGATAGCGAAGAGGAAGAGCTGGACGGTGATATTAGAGTTAAATCTAAAATGAAAGATAATCTGGAGAATGATCTAGAAGATGATGAGGAAGATAAGAGTGAAAAGAGGCACGCTGATTACGTGAGTAACAACGTTGACGTTGAGGTTGACGTAGAGGTGGACGTATGTCGAGATGGGGATGAGAGTAATCTTAGTAGTCCAGTAGATCTGACGGCTTCATCCAGATGTTCGTCAAGCCAGGAACAGTTTCTCCATCCTTTAGCAAATCGAGGCTTTCATTCGTTATCATATTTATCTAATGGCATATCAGGGGGAATGGTTCCTGGTCACTCCCCACTTATGAATAACAATGGTAATCAGCCTCTAAATCTACCGACGGTTTATCATTTGGCTGGGCATACTCCAGTAACGGTATCGTCGACACTCGTCACGGTTTGCAGCAGCACTGGAAGAAGTTCCTCAACGCACTCGGCGAATATTACAACTACGACAACGACAAATTCGGTTCAGGGAAATAAACGCGGACTAGCATTTTCAGTGGAAAACATTTTGGACCCAAACAAGTTTACCGGTGGTAGAGTTTTACAGAGTCGAGTATCACATAGACGAAGACGTCGAAGTGGTAGCGTCCATGAAGGTAAATTACGAATAATATTGTAAAACATATTGTTCTCAAATTTATATTTATTTTTTCCTTATTATGAAAATTTCTTTAAATAAATTGTGAAAAATAAATAGAAATTCAATTCGCGGCTTAACTTTATAAATATTAGAAAATTAATGATTATTAATTTAATATTGTACATAATATTTACTAATTTATGACTATTAAAGTTTGATACTTGAGACTTCTACGTAAATGCGCAATTCTCTTTTTAATTAAATAAGAATTATAAAATAAGTTATTTATATAATATTGTAAAGAACGATATGCTTTAATACAAATGAAAAGAGTAAAAAATGTTTATGATAATATAAAAATATGCTAAACCTACACTATTTAATTAATTCGTATGATTTATGTCAACAAATTATATTGCTCTGTATTGCATTTAATAAACATGTGCAATGTTTTCATTTTTATTAGTGAAATATAACATATGATAGAGTATATTTAAAATTATAACAAATATTTTTATTATTAAGCTTATAATACAAAATAATCCAATAAAAGTTAATTAATAATAAACTGCTAAAAATTCCTAAATTTTTACTACATAAATTTATCAGCTGTTCAATATGTTCAAATAAAAAATATTGTTAATTAATTATTAACTAGAAAATTCTTTAATTTATCTATAATATTATGAATATAAGTATAATTATTATTTTGTAGTTTAACAACATTTATGTTTACTATAATTTTATTATTAACTACAGGAATAAAATATTTTTCAATCTTCAATTTAATTACTGCTTTATCAGATGTATTATTTTTTACTATTGAATAATATAATAATAATCAGAATATTAATGAATCTTTGTATAAAAATTAAATATACATTAAGTACAAATATATTAAGAATTCATGTTTACATAATTATAATAATACATAATTCTTATAATATTATAATTTTTGATGTAATCAATATACTATTTGCCATATGGTTTTAAATACGTAATTTATATGTAATTTAAAATTTATCTTATTTGTATATCTATTGATAGGACTGATACTTTAATCAACATTCATTAAATAAGCGATATTTATATTATTATATGTTCTTTTTAATATTTAAATAACAGTCATGATTTGTCAACTACTTTTAATTAAGATTTTTTTTTGTAATTTGTATTTATTAAAGATATATAATAATGTAGTAATTAAAATTAAAATTTAGTTTAATTATTCTTAATTAAGTCACTTAAATCAATAATTCATTGGGTAAAGCTAATCATTACTCTTTGATTAGCCTTATTTTCGTTATTACATTGTATATGATTAATTATTTTGTAAGTACTCGTATTATTAATATATCTATCTACATATATATATATATATATATATATATATATATATGTGGATAGGAAAAAAATGCTTCAATATATTTTGTATTTTTAATTGTATTAAACACAAAATAAAAAAAAATTATATAAACATTTGATAATAATAATAATAATAATAATAATCGAACGTATTTTTGTATTTCGTTTAAATATGTCAAACACTGGTAAATTATATAATTATATTATATAACTTATAATTAATAATTAATATAATTAATAATTAATAAATATAATTAATAATTATATAACTTATAATTAGCCGTATTATACTACAATTCAAATCTTTATATTAGTATTTTATTTAATGAAATTTTAACATTGAATCAACGAACATCTATAAAGATGAAACGTATGAATTAAATTACGTATTATAAATAAACAATTTTTAGTTATATCATAAAAAATATTTTAAAATATATGTGTTTAAAAGATACATTTTTATATTGTACTTTAATACATATAAAATTGTTTATACTGTTTATTATTTTCATTATTGTTCATAATTACGAGGTTTTACTCATAACTGTAGATTCGGTAAAAAATCAATTATTGTGAGGGTTAGTATCATATAATCATTGCAAGTAACCTGCAATCGTATCAATGTAGTTAATATTTGTGATAATTTAATTGATAAGTTCGTGAATAGCGAATGATGATATATATTTCAAATTACCAATACATTTTTATCTATTGTTTTATAACCATATTTATTTAAAATATAAAAAATTAATTTATAACTATATTTAAATAATTTAATGACAGGCTACAAGGTATTTCTTTGATAAATTCTCCCCAAATCAACGATTAATATATTTTGATATTATTAAATCTCGATCGTTCGTCCGATTATGCGCACGACTTTAATGGATTGCATTCCTATCGAATAAGTAAATTAAAACTGAAATATATCTTTACGAGAATAAAATACATAAGTAAAAGAGAAGATAAAAGGTTCGGCTCCTCGTCCCTCTCGCAAGCGAGTCTTTCAGGCGCGTTTCCTCGTTTCTAAAATTAGAAAACCCAGCCCCGCCCTCCTCGCTTCCCGACACAACTTGTTCTCGCGTATGTGGCCGAAAGGATCTTGCAATTCTCGTCGCTCCGCGGGGCTATTTGCGTATAATATGAGTTAGCTGCGGCTGCCTGACGGCCACTCGAAAGAATGACACAGAGGCGCGATGATGTAGACGTTCCCGTAAGCGCGGCAACTCCGACTGACGATGCGCTCCGATGATTTTCTGAACGCGTGCGTTCGAAGCTTCGCTTTCACGGAAGACTTGAGCTTGTCGGGTCGCACGTGAATACGCCGAAAGAGCACGTGGGACGCGTGTGCATCTTCATCTGCGGTTTCCTTTTTTTCTTACCCTTCGGCTTTTATTATTTTTGAAGATCGGCCGATGCGTGATACGCCGGGAAGAGAGCTCGAGAATCTTAATTTATGAGAGCGCTAACTACTTTTTCATTATATTTTTAAGTACTTTATCGCTTCCGCAATAGAGGAGACACTTCATTACGGAGTGAACGGAAATTTGCTAAATAACCTTGTTATTATTAGCTTAGGAATAGCTGTGGACATAACTATATTAGATCTATGGCTTATTATATCGGTATGTGTCGGATTTTGATGATGATGGATGACATTTTCTTTCATTAATAATTTTGTTCTATTATTCCGTGTGAAAGAAGAAAGCGAAAAAATGTTATCAAGCTTAATGATACATATGTTCTGCTATTCTACATAGATCATAAAAGAAAGAATATAAACAAAAAATGAACATAAATGAATTCTAAACGCAAATATAAGGAATTAATATAAGGTAATACAATATATAATTAATATAATTAATATCATATAAGATTTAAAATTATCACGTGGTTAATTTGAAAAGATTCGTTCATTACTTAATGCAAAGTATTATGCGCAATAAATGGGCAAGCATATTTGAATAATTATCTATTTTAAATTGATACTATAAATTAATTTAACAAATTTAAAAAAGCTGTTTTCAATTTCAACCGACTTATCATTAGAAATTAATTTATAAGTAAATTTTATATAAAATTATATTCGATATCACATGAAAATACGATTAATTCCTTTCCAATATTCTACTACCGCATATCAATGCTTGAAAACCACTTAAATGAAATAGTATTTGCACATATACTAATTCTAATTTAATCTAAATCAATTAATGCAATCTAATCATTAAAAAAAGTCTCTCTCTCTCTCTCTCTTTCCTTCTTTCTCTACGTATATACATTAAATTTCCAATTCTATGTTCCTTTATAATTAAATTCATATTTAAACATAAGTAATATAAAAAAAAAAAAGAAAGAAATAAAAGGTAGCTAAGTAAATTTGAATATTAGTAATAGATTTAGATATAATTTATTTCTAATCATCACCATAATTATCTATAAATTAAATAAATTATTGTAATAGTTATCACTATATTTTTCCATTGTCTATTCAATAATTTATCATAAATATGTCTTGTTATAATTATAAATAAAAGCAATCTTAAAATAATAACTTATTTTTTCACTTTAAAATATAATTTTTAATCAACGTATTAGTTTTCTATTACAACAAAATTATAATATTCAAAAATAATATTTATTTAACTTAAATAAAAAATATATTAATATATGTACTTTAAAACAATGATTTTGTTTAAGTAAAATTTAAAAGATTTTTATATGTGACATAATGCTAATAAAAATAATATTAATAAAATAGATATATAATAATAAATTAATAAAATGAATACATAATAATTTTGTATATGAATAAGTTATAAATATCATAGAATAATTTAATGATGAAAATTTTGTAACAATGTAACATACAATCATACATTTTTTATTATGATGGTATGTGAGAAAGCAAAAACACCGCCTTTCATAAAATAGCGAAGAGTAAGTGATTAATTTTATAGATAAAATATGACAAATATCATTTTGCCTTGTTTCGATTATTGAATTTTTTCAATTTAACTTATTTTCTTTACTTATTGCTACTCATACTCAAAATAATTTCTGGATAATAATTTTTTCTTTTAAGTATTTAAAATACAGTTGATGTTCGCAGAATTAATTCTTTAGAAGACGAATTAATTTTATAATACGTATTTGGGAATTTTAAGTCAATTGGTTTTATTGTTCACGAACTTTGGATAATGATTATATTTGATTTGTATAGTAATTAATATAAACATGTATTATGAAGTATAAAATTATTCGTATGTAAAATAAAACATTCACTAATACGGTTATTTATAAAAATACCAACATATTATTAGAAATAAAAATATTAATTTGACAAAATAAAAATATAATAATATTTTAAGAAATACATTGAAATAATTAATTCACAGAGCAGATAAAACCTTTAAAAATAAACTTGTTTTTATAATATGTATATTATATATCAGTTTGAAACAGCAACAAAATTTATGAGCTTTTAAAAGAATTTCAAAATCTTAAAAAATGTTTTGAAGATAATAACGGATTATTATAATATTTGTATGGAACGAAAATGAATATTTTTTTTATTTTATTTTTTATTTTTACCATTACAAATAACATAATTTAAAGATAATTCCTGATACTTAAAATAAATATTGTTGA